CAAAATAAATAAATAAGTAAATGAATGAATAAATAAATAAATAAATAAATTCATGCCTCTAGAGGGTCTTTTCCTGTTCCACTCTTCCATATGCTTCCGTGGAGGACAACTTGGAAGAACCTTACATAGGAGTTACTGTTTATTTCTGTCTCTGATACTGATTAGAAAATGATTCCTCCCACCTTCTCTGTCTCAGATTTTATTTAATTATAAATCCAAAATGTCACAATCTGAAGATAATGTAAAAGATGAACCAGTTATTATACAAAGAAAGAGAAGGTATTTGTGACCGCTGCTTCTTTGTGCTTAGGGGATAGACAATTTCCCTGTTCTATCAGGCAGGAGAGATGTATATTCTGCAGGGGTAAAGGCAGTACTGCCATCAGGGAATTCATTGTTCAAAAGCTCTAAGGTTCTCTCTCCTCCCCTGTTGTCTTGATCAAGCAGCTCTCTCCTCATGATTTAAGGTATTAAATAACAATGACACAGCCTATGTCCTGCAATAAATATGTCCTGGATGGAGAGCATTTTTCTTCCCTACCTTTCATGATCATTCGTAAGAGGCGGTATTTCCCCCAAGAAATTAAGGGGTATGTTAGTTACATCATCATAGCTTTTCAACTTTCTCTTTTAAAGAGATGTTCGTAATTTGCAGAAGATACTGTGTGTGCAATAGGACATGCACTGGTTTTTGGCCCTGCCTCCCACATGCCCACTGTGACTTACTCATGTAAGCCCACATTCTGTGCATGTTGGATTTGTCAGCTAGGTGGTTTCACTTCCAACACAATACTTTCCAGTAGGCTGTGGTGAACTGTCAGTGCCCATTAAGCCAAAGTGCTCTTCATCATCATTAATTAATATTCTGTTCCCAGAGGAGGGAGGATATTGTCCAAAGCTGTCAGACCACTGCTTATCAACTACATTAGAGTGAACCATTAGGAATCACACGTCTCAGACACACCTGACACATCACTTTGGCCTGGCCACCAGCAGGGGCACTCTCCTCTTTCATGGGTCCCATGTGATGCCTCCAGAGCATCTGTGCTAATCAGAAATTACAGAGTTTTAGAACACTTGTTTCTAGGATTTTCTTGCACAAACACATCTACCAGACAAGACTGAGAGATGCATAATAGCACTCTCTGAAATTAGCAATAGCTGCAGGACTTGGTCGGGAGTGAGGAATAGGCCTAAAACAATCATCCAAATCTGTTCAGGTGGATTTTTCCCTATACCATTTTCTTCTTCCTGTCTGGTTTCCTCTACAGTTAGCTAGGTAAAGTCTAATACTACTTACCCTACTCATCAATGCCCTTCTTAGGGATGCTACTTGGCCACATCAAATATTAAGCGAAATATTGATCTTTCTGGAGAGGGAAGATAGTTTGTAGTTAAGAGTTCCACACTCTAGGAGTCAGACCCTAATTCTGCCATTTGCTTGCTATTTGATCTTGCAAAAATGATACCACTCCCTTCTCTCCCTTCATTTATATATGTTTAAAATGGCAGCTAGCTTCCATGTCAAAAAAGTTAATAAATGGATTAAATTAGATAATCATGGAAGGTTCTTTACACAGTATCTAGCACACATGACTCTAAATCATCAGCTACTATCTTTATAAGTTTTCAATAACAAAAATTACCTTCCAACATTTCTGCTTTTTCACCAACTTCCCTGGCTCACATGTCTTAACTCTTAAATGGAGTTCAAAGGTTAACTCATGCTTAGGCAAAACGCTGCTATTTCAATAACTAAATCATGAAATGCAGCCCCCTCCCCCACATTTTATCCTCAACATCTCCTATCTCATTACACACACATGTAGTTCCAGTCTAGAGAGAGACACATTTTTCCCAGGGCCGCAATGTGTGTGTGTGATTAAAATGATTCATTTTAATGAGAATTGAGCTTTCTTCTGCATTTCCCACTTGTATATTACAGAAGTCTCCTCCACCAAAATAGCATAAGGAGCACACAAAGGTGGGACTAACAGGAACTGGCATGCAGCAGCACACAAGAGTACACGCCATCCTCCCTAGTCACCCCAAATTTCAGCAGACATGCATTCCATGCACCCTAACTCTACTGCCCCATTTCACGTGTTGTGCATCTCTGTCCCTTATTAAATCATTTATGGATTTTCTTACTTTTCATTTATCTCTGGGCACTCATCATTCATTGCAATTCAACTGGGAAATCCACATTGAATGGCTTTCAGCTTTCTGCTAACCAGAACAATCAGATTTAAGGAACATTTGTGCCAGGTTCTGTGTCAGCCAATATTCTTTGTGCCTAGGTAATCAGCAGATATGGCACTGCCAGTCTGATCACATCAATTTCAATTCAGGTTGCTGTGAACTGTCAGGCTAATAAAACATACTCTCCGTCCCGGCCCCAGGACATAGAACACCTTTACATAATGCAGTCACGCTACTGCTCAAAGTGATGATAACAAGAGCCAGCAGTTTCCGTGCAGATGATTAACAACAAGAAAGACACAAAGGGGAAGCACAAGGAGTACTAAAAAAATAGCTTCCCTTGTCCAGAGGTCTCCTTTTCCCCCTTTTCATTCTGTGCCCGTTAGCCATGTCTGAATTCAGAAAACCATTCCTGAAAACAGCAGCAAATCACAAGATATTGCAAAGACATTCCTGTCCAGATCTGTCATCTTTTCCATCATCAAGAGACCAATTAAATGGTCTCTATTCTGGCAGAAAACAACATTTGTCCAGAAAAATTATTCCCCGTTGACTTGAAAAGAGGGGAGAAGATAATCAGGAAGGGGGAAATGCAACCCGAAAATCAGATGTTTTTCTGGGGGGGTGAAGTATAGAGCTGGGACCAGAGAAGCGAACTGTGCGATGAATCTGGGACAGCTGCTTTGACTTCATACCACTGAGGATCTCCGAGTAAGATATCACCATTGTAAGCACTAGATCGAGGCAAGGAAACACATGGCATTTCAACAAAACACACTTAAAGTTTAAATGTTTACAAGACATTTACAAATGAGGAAGAAAATGTGGCAATTTATACTTGTTTATAAGAAGACTACTAGTTGGTGTTAAAGAAAGTCATATGGCCATGCTAATTGCAATATGGGTAGAAGTAGAGTCCTAAAACAGTGGAAATATGTTGGACATTTAAACAATGTGGATGCATTTTAAGACTATAGGAATAGAACAGTGTATCAGGGCTTACATTCATTGGAACATAGTATTAATTGTGTTATCTATAATTTGCTAATCACTGCTATACTCTAGGCCCTGTTCTTGGTACTTTAACTCATTTAATTCTCAGATCAAAACTCTCAAATAGATGCCAGGTTTACCTCCACATTTTAAACAAAGGAACCTAAGGTTCAGAAGTTACTGGATTTGTCTCAAGAATACATATGGGTGGGATAGCTAGGATTTAAATCCAGGCAGCCCAACTCCAAAATGTATACTCTAAACCACAGTTTTATCCAAATGAGCTTGAAACTGCATCACTAGAATATGTATGTGCTTTCCAGAACACACTTTCAGTTTGAGGCTGAGATAGCTGACACTATATTTATCTGGAACATGGGCAGGAAAGGAAGCAGAAGAAACTTGTGAATGTATAAAAAAGTCAGCAATGTATTTCTGAAAATATATATGCACAAACTACATCTTATGCTAGTCTACCATAATTTCCATTACAAATATTCAGGCTCTGAGTTGGGCATACAGTGTGTTAGCATGCCTTTATGTATCCAGAGAAGTTTAGATACTAGAGGAAAATCTCCAAGAACTCTTAAAGGAGAAGGAATACAGATTGCATTAAAAGGGATTACAATGCTGGGTTTAAACTTCTTAAGTGAAATTGGCTTCCTTCTTTGACATAGTGGATATGAGCCCCTTGCTTCTTGTTATACAAACAGCCTCTTAACTCGATAAACTTACACTCAAAGGAAAGCATCATTATAGTTGTACATACTTGAATTGGTTTTAGAAGTTTTTTTTTTTCCAGGTAGAATCTATATAATTGCACATTCCAAATTCTGAATATGTTTTTAATGGTTCATTATAATCCATTATGAACTCGTCAGAGCTCAAGATAAGACTGACAAAAGGCTAGAGATCCATCTCCAATCTCCAAATAGCAGTTTTCTTTGTACCTACCCATCCTTTAAATGGCAAGAAAGGCATTGGTGATGTCATGAAAGCTAACTGGTCTAAAATACATGATTTTATGTTGCATCTTTTTTTAAGATTTATTTATTCATGCATACAAGAACTGGTGTACAGGCCAGAGGTGCAAGGGGTGAGATGATTCACCAGAGACAGAGTGGGGAGCAGAACAGGCAGATGTACTGAAATACACTGCTGAGGGGAGCAGCGGGCAAGACAGGAGAGATCTGCTGTGCCATGTGGGTTGCTCCCTAGCTGCCCGGGGATCGAACTTGTGCTGCACAGGCTGCAGATTACTTCATAGTGTGGTGTTTAACCCCTTGCGCCACCAGGGAGGCCCCGAGAATTCACTATTAATCTTACTTCCCTCACTGGCTTTCAGAGGCTGGCAGTTATTAGGGGAGGTGATCTAGTTAGAAGGTGTTCAAGTCCAACAGGAGTGTCCCTGATGCAATGGAAAGATATTCCTCAACCTTTCTTCAGAGACAGATAAGGGCCCACCAGACCTTTTGTTGAACACCCTGAACTCCCCTCCGCCATTGGCCCTTTAAGACTTTAAGTTTCATACTACAATCACTCTGGTTCAACCCTTTAATTGTTTGACTGCTTTCCCAGACACACCACAAGGTCTGGGGCCTCATGACTTGGTCAAAAAAGAATCCTGAGAGATGTTCGGCAAATCACCTAATACCTCCTTTTCCTAATGGAAGAAGGCTGCATAGGAAACTAGACATGAAAATGATTGATTTTAAATCATTAGATCATGAAGCCACCATTGTAGGGCCTTCATTGGCCTCTCAGGCTCTGCAGTGGTTCAGGGGCACATACGCCTCGTGACATACCTCATAGAGGTCGATCATGACATTGCCCTCAGGGCCTCTGGTACTCTGGACGTTCTCCAAGGCCAGGGTGAAGTAAACACCCCGGGTGTCTGAGATGTAGAGGTTGTATGTGTCGTTCTGGTTCCATTCTTGAACAGCTGCGAACACTTGGTTCTCGTCTGTGCTGATCACATGCATGTCCTGAAGAAAGGTACAGAGAAGTGAAGTGGAAAAAGGGTTTTATAAGTTAACCTGGCATATGTCCCAAGAGAATGCACTCTAATGAGGACCAGAATAGGCATGAGGCACTGTGACAACACAGGATTTTTTCTCTTGCATATCTGGAAGACAGTAATTAATTAGTTGTGTTAATCACATAGGGCCTTTGTCACTGGTAGGGTTAGACAGAGAGGTCATGAGAAAATGGGACAGAGAGATGCTTGGTAGTTCAGTGATAATTTAATTGCTTTATTACATAATTTGAAAAATACTTTCTCCAATATGTATGACTTCGGAGATTCAATCATTCTGATATATTCTCCAAGCATGGTACATGTTCAGAGGTTGATGTGGGGTAAATATGAGGAAAAACTAGGACAGAGAGAAAATAAATGAGTTCTGTATCCAGTGGTGTGGCCCATGGACCAGATGCTTGGCTATAACCTGCAGGCTTCTTTGACACATAAAACCCTAGCCCCCGCCCATGTTAAACCAAAATCCACATTTTTATAAGATCCTTGAGTGATTAATACATACATTAACATTTAAGAAGCTCAGCAACCTCCAGAAACCCCTGAGAAAAATGCCCACCTGAGAACCCCAAAGTACTAATCTTCGTGTTAACGGGAGCTCAAGGACTCAGAGAAACTTTTACTGGGAGCAGCTCAAGAAGAAACCTTAAGGAAAAGGGAAAAATAGCCTGAATAGTTGATGATGTTTTCTGACTGGTAGTCCTGGAAGATAGAAAGAGGCAAAGGTGATGTGGACGCAGTGAACAGATATCCCTGGGGTGGGAATTCCAAGACTCCAGAAGGGGATGTTCAGATTGCGGCCGTCACAGGCTGAAGCTTGCTGTCTCCTTCTGGTGATGCCTGTTCCTATGATCTTGGCAGCCTCTTGCCCTTTGCCCAAGGCAGTAAAATTCTTATAACTTTTAAAAAGCAAACCAAAAAGAGTTACACCCAAGCATGAAGGGAGGGGAACCACGAGGTGGTAGTTTCATATTCAGTCTTTCCAGATGAGCCATCCTTGAAAAGCTTCAGGAGATCTGTCAGTCTTTCTTGGCAACAATTCCAATGCTGGAGAATTCTGTATCCATTCTAACCTAAATTTCTCATGATAATGCATCTTTATATTTGCTCAGCCAAGGAAACAATCAATCAGCAACTCAGCCCCAACTCAACTTCAGACCAATAACAAAGAGACTCTTCTGACTTTTTAGCCTTGCTCACAGTGAACTCAAATGACCCCAGAAGGAAGAAGTCTGTATCCAAAGAGTTTCACAATACTCAGCCCTACCCAGTCTTGCATGCCTTGCTCTAGAGTTTAGCAGGAAAAAACCCCGAGTGGGAAGAACAAAAATTTATTCTACTCATTAATTCAGTGTGGGCAGTAATTAAACTAAAATTTGACATAAGGTTGACCACATCTAATATCAGCTCAATGCCTATTAAAATTTCTTCTGATAACTATAGCTTAATGTTCTTTGAAAAACATAAAACATCCTCATCCTTCTCAGATAAATTTCCTCTCCTTACATTCAATCATTCCTATTTTCTGCTGCTATCAGCACCAGCAGTGAGTTTGTAGGCCTGGTATTCAGAATATCCAATTTCTCTGATGATGATGATTGGATTAGTGATGAATATGTGACCAAAGCAAAGTCAATAACACATGATTCTAGAATGAAAGTGGAATTAATAAAGGGGGTAAAACAGTATCTCTAACTACTGGCTTGTAAGAGTTTCAGTAAGAAGTTTCAAAAACCTAGATCAGCATTGAGCATTTACTATAGTGCCTGGTGCTTAACATCTATTCCATACCTGCTAGCAATTTCTCCTAAGCAAGCCCTTGAATCCCCTTTGTTAATTAAGCAAGGTTGATCTGGCCTTTCTGTTCATTGTAAATGTTAGGGTGCAAACAGATACTCAACAAAAAGTGGTTCACATAAGTGTTTTGTTTCCTGCCAATGGAGAGGGTTCACTGAGAAAATCAGCCAAGAGGCATTCAACCACTGACAGTCAAACCTTTCCAGGTTCTCCAATTTCTACAGTGAAAAGATATGCATCCTTATTCTGGTATTTAGAATCTTCAAACAACTGTTTCAAAGTCATGTCCCCTTCCTTGTTAGCAGGATGCAGTAGCATTCCTGAAATCAAGTGAAAATATTTCAGAAGCAATCCCCAAAGCTAACTCCCCCTCTCTGTGTTTGGAGCGATTTTGTGAACTTAAGAATTTCTGAGGTCAGGGTTACAATAGACATTACACTAAGTAGATCATCTGTTACCCAATTCGCCCAAATCTTATTTTGCAGATATCAGACACAGATGCATCAAGTGCTTAAGTACCTTGGAGAACTACTAGCAAAATAATAATCTTATAATGGCCACCTTGAGAAAGGGTCAAGATCAAATCTCTTTCTCCTCAGGTATCTAATTATATTGAACAGTCTTTTAAAAAACAATACTGGTCTTAAATATTTTAATTCAAAGGCTTACATGAATGCCATATTTCTTTATTCCTCTTGCCATACCCTCTTCCTCTATCATGAAAACGTGTTATTTTTTCCTAAGCAATGCTATCGCTATAGGTTGAAAGTTTTTGGTCAGACACATACTTTCAGAGGAAGAAGTCATCTTTGATATCTTTCTTGTAGAACATTTCAGAAAGTCTGCCCTATAGAACACCAGTGTTATTGGGCTTTAATCATTTCTGTAAATGGGTCCTTTGGTAAAATATTTTCATTAATTCTGAATTAAATGCTTTCTTGATTGCAGGACATTTTAGAACTTTCAACATACCAGTGAGTAACTGTTACTTTTTAGACAAGGAAGAATGGAAGTTATTTATTTTTTTTAAACTCATTTGAATACAGAAACAAATTTTCATGAGTCATCTCTAAGGGCATTTTGTTCTGGGTAAAGCTTTTGTAAAGCAGTGCATATTTAACCTCCTTATTTTAAATATGTTTTTAAAATACACAATAGGAAAAAAAGAAACTGATATACCAGCCCAGGTTTCAAAACAGGTTAGTGACAGATCTAGGTCTGTAATTCCTGTCTCCAGTTGAGAATCAAGCATCCTTCACCCCACCCACAGCCCCTTCACATTGATCTTCAACCACAGAGACAACCAGATCCATACTAATAATCATATTACCTTGCTTTTATAGAGGATCTGTCCTCCAAAATGCTCTAAGCACTTTCATATGTATTGCCTCATTTATCTCACTTCAATAGCTCGAAATGAGCACCAAGTAAGTTAAAGGAAGGAAACTGTCACAAAATCTCCCTGTCTGGAGGACTTCAGGCCGTTAATGCAACAGTGACAGTAAAATCTCTCAAACACGCCCCCCCATCCTTGCCATTATTATTAAATCATATCTCTCTCTCTCTCTCTCAGATATATGTGTGTGTGTGTATATATATATATATATATATATATATATATATATCTGCGTGTGTGTGTATATATATGTGTGTGTGTGTGTGTGTATATATTCACACACACACACTGAGAATTACCATGGTCTTTCAAGAACTGGTACAATGGCAGTGGATGATTAAAGAAAATTTGAGCATAAAAGTACTGGTTTGTCTTGATTCTTTGGCAGATCTGAAGGTTTGTTCTTCTCCAGCTGCCATAGCCCTGGCTTGGGCAGAAGGTCATGAATACATGCAACTTTGCACAGGTCACATTGCCCAAGTGGGGGCTTCTCTTTGAAGGTATAATAGGATTGCAAAGAGTCATTTCATTGCCTTAAATAATAAACACCTACTTGGGCCAAATATATTATTTTGCTGCACTGGCTTCTGTTTTCCTCTGGATAAGCTAAATTAATCACTGTGTTCTGCCTTCACACCTCAAATGACATAGAGTGATGGAACATACTCATCTGGGAGAGCTGGGGGAGGGGACAGATAGTTGACATAGGTTCAGAGTAAGATCCTTCCTTAGAGACTGGTTAGATGTTAACAGTGATCAAGCGGTACAAAGTGTGTTCCCTAGCACTCCAGCAATGGCACTGAAGGTGTTTCTTTAATTTTAAACTACCATTTCTGTGGATGTTTGGATCAATGGGCTTTTTCACTGGATACACTTTAGTATATCAAAATTGGGTGGGAGACGTGTTCCTATCTTTTAATTATATACATTTTTAATTTTTCAAGAAAAGAGAAGTATAACATAAATAGCGTTAGTTTGAACATCAGGAGACTTGAGTTCTGGCCTCATTTATGCTGCAAACAGCATTTGGTTTGACCAAGATCCATTCCATTCAAAAATTATAGTCCAAGAAATGAATGATAAACTTTGTGCTCTCCTGATTTGGCTTCAATTCCCACATGCCTCTTGAGCAAGGGTATCTCACTGCATGGAGTATAATTATTATTTTTCAAGGTATAGCTCTTAGAAGGAAACAACTTCATTTGTTGGTCAATCAAAGGAACAGCAATTTATTTCAGGGGTCAAGGTAAAAGGAAAAAAAAAAGCTCTGTTGGATGAACTGAAGGAACATATGCTATACATCTGCCCTTTAGACCTTCCTAAGAAATTATCAAGGGTAATTTTAACACACTCAGTATTCATATTGGCTTTACCCCATTCTCACCTAAGGCACAACTCCCATATGTCTTAAGTTTTTTTTTTTTCTTTTTGGAAAATACTTTAAATCAAACCCAGAATAAGGAGCATTTAAATAAATACATGTAGATACTTACAGTTCTGGGCAATCACCACTATCATTAATCTCTTAGCAGCTGAAAAAAATAATAACTACTAACATGCATACAGTTCTTTGGAGTTAATAGTGCAATTTAATGTATGCTATTATCACTAATGGACTGAGGTTTACAGCCCACCTTTCACTTTGCTCTAGTTAGGGACAGAGTAGTGTCCAAGAAGGATAATTCTACTCGGAAAATCAGTGCAACTGGCTACTGTGGCTCTCCTGGGAAGGGAGACATGCACTGCCCTTGTGCTATATCCATCACATGATTTCCCAGGCAGCAAACTGGTGTTGGTCCAAGAAAGCATACTATCTTACACAGCCATGGGTAAAATGCAAGGGAAAGTGTCATGAAAATGCAATCAAAGAAAGTTCTTTATGTTCTTTGTTTAACCCAAAGATTTCAAAGCTGAGCTATAACTCTACTAAAACTCAAAATCCCCTTATAGCCACTTTCATCTCCGTTGCTTGAAAATCAAGGCACAACACCTTTACAATTTCTGGCTATTTAAAATACATCACAGTGGCAGCAAGACAGCAAATGCACAGCTTCTAGTACCCACAAAACTCGGTCTGACCTCCACTAGGTGGTGCTCCATATTAACACAGTTCTTCAGTATTTATGCAAACACAGTCCAGAGACTCCTGCATTTGAGGGTCCCTTTTTGTCCACCACTATTTTCAAAGGAGTGGGTCCTTGGGAAAGTCTAAAGAAATTAGAATTCTGTGGCTCAGACTCGAAAGACAGTCAGTGTCATCCAATGAGAGAGCAAAGGTGGGATTTCATAGCTCTGTATCCTCAGTAAGCAACTAGTAATGATAAAATGGAACAGAAATGAATAGCACCCATTGCATTGATATACTGTGCATCCAAAGCATAATTTTTATCTTCGTAAAATATAATAATACTGTTCAAAAACTTTACTTTTGAAAAGCAAAAGCAAATTATGTGTCAGTTTGTTCAGGTGATCCTATAGTATTTTGGTGATCCTATACCTGTAGTGTCAGAGAGACTAAGAAAGAGTCAAGAGAGAGCAGTAAGTAATGAGACTGGCAACAATAGAAAGTGCACTTGAGACACAGAAATGCACGGTGAAAATAAATAAAAGTCTGAGAAAATGAAAAGATTCTTAAGAGTGAGTGGAGGCAGGAACATGTGACTCAGAGGAAATACTAAAATGAAATGAAGTCGATTCAGGTCATACCTTGGGCAAAGCGTATTTGGGCAGCTTCATTTGGGCAAACGCATTCCTCTGGTAGGACACGTAGTAATGTGGCCGTCCTCCTGACGTCAGCTGGGTCAGAGACACAAAGGCTGTAAGAGGAGCTAGCGCAGCAGTTACAGGTCATAGAAGAACAGACATTGAAAGGAGGCAGGAGCTGCCAACATAACAGCATGAATGACGATTGTGGACAAGTGCAAAGAATTGGCATTCAGCTCGACAACAGCTTACGGAGTGCATTTGATGGGGTCTGAGACCCAACGGAACCTGCCAGATGAAAACACACTTCTTCAATTTGCACTCAGAAGCCAGGAAACACTTTCAGTTATTTTTTCCTTTGCTAATTATACCAGCCTCGGGATATATTGATTCAAGGTCCATCAGCAGCTCATCTACCTAGCCCCAGGACTATGACCATACAACCAGCTCCCCATGCCAATTGAAAAAGAGATAGTCCACGTCAAACAGTAACAGAACCATAACTTTTCATCTCTGGAGCCCAAATTCCAGAGACAGCACCATGTGTGGGTTATATGTTATAAAACAGAAAAGCTTCCTGGGAGCAACACTGATAGAGAAATATATTAAAGTAGAACTAAATGGTAAACATTTTCAGTTTTAATGTCACTTCATATTTTGATGCTGAATCTATCAGAGTATTTATAACTCATTTCCTTGAAGAAAAAGGAAATGTGTGTTTGTGTGTATGTGATTGTTTTTGAAACATTTTAAAAGTACGCGGCTGATGTAGAGCAGTTTGAACATTTGTTCCCTCAGAACATGAGATTAAATATCCTAAATTATAATTTTTATCTAGATAACTATAATAGTGTTGAGAATGTGTCCTGAACATAGTGAAATTATACATATAAACTTCTTAGCAATTGTACCTTTGTCATTTTTAATATGGAGAGCAATTATTGAATTTTTAAATGAATAGTCCAAATAAACCTACAATTATCCTTATATGCTGAAAAGCAGCAAAGCACATCTGTGGAATTCACTCACTCAGGAAACCAGGGCTTCTTGGATCATTTCAGACATCTCATCTAAATCCTCTTTATCCTAATCACGAGTACATGACAATAAAGGCTGATTACCACTCCAGTAGCCTCTGCCTCCCACCATCTCAAGCCACTCACAGCTTCCCATTCCTACCTATTTTTAAGGTGGGTACTGGGCAGCAGGCTGACTGGCTGACCTAACTCCTGATAGGAAAAGCTTGTCATACCTGCTCATTCTCTTGATATGACTGACCAGGGCTTCCATAGAATGCAGATGAGGCAGGTGGACAGATGGAGTGCTGAGCACACCAGAGACTATTTTAGTGCCCTAGCCCCTCTGAGACAATGTGTTCATAAGGTCCTTCAGACACTGCCCAGAAGAACTAATGGATATCTGTTAGCAGCTTCCTCACTTGGCAGTGTCCCTTTTGTTGAAAAGATAATTGCTTTTTTCTTTTATAATCTTAGAGGTGTGCAAGCAAAAGGGGCTGCATCAGAGACAGGAACAGGTAAGAGAAATGTCTTTGAGACTATCAGTAGTAGCAGACTTTTCCTACCTGAACAAACACATAATCATCCTGGACAATCAAAGAGTCGGGGTCAATGTAGCCGGGGAAGGGTCTGTGTCTGTTGGCCTCTGTGCAGTTCTGCATTCGGCACGTCAGGTACTGCGAATCTGAAAAACAAAATGGTGGCGTGGGTGATGCACAAGGAGTATTAGCCTCGGAGTGAGATTTCCTATTTCCTTTGCTGTCTTCAGGTTGCTAAACAAGCCTCATATTCTTTGATCACTATATTATTATCGTTACTGTTATTGATAAAATTATCATTGTTATTATTTTACTCACTTGCTGTCAACAGCATCACCACCATTTCCAATACCTCCATCCATACTTGCCATCTTAAAATACTAAATTCTCTTCAATTAATTTTCCCCTTCCCAACTCAAATGAAAATGCTTTTAAAATCTGACAATAATACTTGTGATTTCATGGTTATTTTTTTCCTCATTAATAGACTCCCCTCCACATTTTGCCTTTTGACTGACATAGGAAGCAGACAAATGTGCAAGTACCAATCATTTCAAACTGGAGTTGCTGATAAAGGTTTTCCTTCTACCACCAATTAGAAGTGAAACAGAATAGAGGAAATTCTTAAGTAAGAAGTTGGCTCTCATTTCGTAAGTTGGTATACTAAGACACCGCTACACTGCTATGCTGTCAGGGTTAACTCCCACGTGGATCTGACCTCTGCTACTACAAGTGCCTGTGCCTGTTTTCCAGCCACAACTATCCTGCCCTCTGTACCAACTAGACATCACATTATTCACAGCATGTAGAATAAGTTCAAATCTTCCACCACCCACCACTTCAATCTCCACTCAGGCTGATCACTCTCTGTGATTCTTCTCAACTTCTACTTTATGTTCAGCAACTTGGCAAAACTTTCTACCACTTTCATGTGTTTATTGTCTTCCTAAAATGCTTCTCCTCAGGCTGTTTCCAACGAAGGTTCTGGCTTTCAGATTTCAGCTTACTCTTACTTCTGAGGGTCTTCCATGATTACCTTTGATAACATACCATTCTGTCAATTTCCTTCAGAGAACTCATCATGATCTAAAATTACCTTGCTCATTATTTATTTTTGTCGCCTACCTCAGAATATAATTTCCATGAAGAAGAGGTCTTTTTTGTTGTTTGTTATTATTCACTAATGCAGCCCCAGATTTGAACACCATTCCTGGTAGAGGGTACATAATAAGTTAATATTTGTCAGAAAAAGGCGTTATCATTGGAACATAGCTTTTAGAATGAAAAGAACTTATTTTACCTTTATTTTTTTTTTTTTTTTTTGATGTTTAACAAATGAGTGAGTTTGATTTTAGGACATCAGAGATTCATGCAGGACTCCATTTTTCCAAATGAAAAGTAGATTATGATTATATGAAATTGGAGTAGGCAATATCATGTTCGGTAGGGTGTAAGGATTCACTAATGACTTCTCTTAGGGAAATTTCCAGAACCGCCTTTACTTAAGGACCATGGGTAAATCTGTATTCAATGACTGTTACCACTAGGGGGCAACATGCACATTTGGTCTGTGTGATCAATAACATGTAGTTGTCCATAAGCCCTCAGGAGACAGGTGGATTGTTTTATCCACAATCGCCCTTATCCCCTTGTCATCTGTGGAGATACGCTAGTGCTTGAGCACTTTTACCATCCTGGTCCTGATGAAATCACCTCCAATGATAAACTAAAGAAGAAACTTCTTCTCACCCTTATCTGTCTCCTTTGTTTTTTTCAAACATTTTCATAGTATAATAGATTTCATAATTTTAAGGCATGATTTAAAATCTTTCTCCTTGAAGATGATCTCTGGGACTCAGCCCTTCCAAGAACAATTCTCAATGTACATAAAATCTTTATCTTACAATTTCACCCTGCACCAGTATCTTCTACAGTCTGTAGTTGACTTTTGCTTTTCAAAATGAGGCTTGGGGTCTTTGAAACAATGAAGACAGAAGACCATTAGAGTTGGGGTGGGTTCAGGAACGGCATGTAGTACCTGCATTGTTCAAGGGAAATCACTTCCTCTTCCTGACTCTTGCCAACCTCACCCATGAAGCAAGGATGCCAAAGTCAACTCCTGCAGTTTGGTTCTAAAATGAACTGAAATTATATAGATGCTAAATGATTATGAAACTCAAATTTGTATAAATGGCCGTTGTTAACGGTAATAAAGATAGCATTCTTGTTTTTCTTTTGCTACTTTTCCCAATGATTAGAGCAGTTTGGGGCACAATACTGGGGCATTAATAAGACTGATTAAATGGAATTGAGTTACTGTTGGGGACCTGTCCAATAGCCATTTGTTCATGTCTCTTTGCTGAAAAAGTTGATACTGGATCTGGATCTGCTGGCTCATCCTTCCTCCATGTAATTCAGAAGTCCTTTATGCAGGATTAATCCCATTGGATTTATGCCCATTCAAGGTCTACCTGTTCTCCTGGCCATGGACTGGTTTAGGGAAGGGTTTTTATCTTTTTTTAATTTTCTTTTTTTTTATTTAAATATTGTATTTTATAATTCTTACATCTTTTTTCATCTTTGCACAATGTACGCATTTTCATTTTGGTTATATTCCCCATACAATTGCAACCCCCCCTTATTTTGACTCTAGTCCTTCCTTTCCCTGCCCCTCCGCCCCCTCCCCCATAGTGTGTCTCTGGTTTATAGTTGCCTGTTAATTTTGATTTTTACTTTGTATTGATTAGTTTTTTTTTTTTTTTCCCTGGTCTCTTATTTAGGTTTTCTAAATTCCTGCTATGAGTGAGACCATCCGGTATTTTTCTTTTTCTTTCTGACTTTTTTAAACCCAATTCTAGTAAATGAGAAGCGAGAGAAATCTTTTAAGGGCCTGCAGGGAGGTGCCCCGTGATACAGCAGAAGACCCTCTTTTGTCTCTGTAGATGATCATGTTTTCAATGTGTTTCTTGGGATAGCTCTGGTCTTCTTGGTACATGAAGGAGCCAATCTACAATTAATCTTACATAATGAATATGAAAAAAAGAGCTAGAAAGGACCTGTTCCCAGATGACATCATTGAGCTCCTGACTGTACTGAGCCTAGAGCTGTCCTTTCTCTGTACTTCTTGTTAGGTGAGATAATGAACAAAAACAATGATTAACAAAATTGAATCAAAGGTTCCTTTTTAGGAGGTCTTAGGCTTCAAATTACATTTACTACTTCCAATTAGAATTTCTAGAACTGCCAACTAATGAGGACTTCTTGATAAATATATAATGCTTATTTTAATTATAATGAGGTCTAAGGGTTTCTTTCTTAAGACCTCAACCTCCTCTTCAAAGATCCTTGAACAAGCATTAGATAGAAAATATACAAAGATACTTTTCATGCTTATAGCTCAACTATACAGAAAACATGAACCTCAGAGTTTTATGAAGAAAATAATTGGGAAACTAACATTTATTGAATAGCTACATGCTCTAAAGCATGTTCACATTTATTTAGTACATTTAATCTTCCCAATACTAAAAGTATAATATTTCAAGTGATTTTTACAGATAAAGAGAATGAAGCAAAGAGATAGTAATTTATAAAATTGGCAGTATGGATTTCAAACTTAATTGGCTTAAAGGCTGTTTATTTCCACTAGTCTATTTTGCATGAAAAACTCCAGTAAGTTTGGGGTCAATTATCATTAAGTGTATTTTGACATCAATATAAGTTTCAACAGATATACCTAGATACAGAAAAATTTCTTTTTTTGTGGGGTAATTTGACAATATGGCTCATGATTATATTTTAACTTCAGTTCATTTCTGAGAATTCTACCTCAAGAAATTATTATTCATTGGTGTTGTTTATAATAAAATAACAAGAGAAAAACACATAGCCAACAATGGAGGAACCACGAAAAAAAAACTTTGAAACATACCCAGCTTGCTATTAAAATTGTACTTCTAAAGACAGTGTGATCATTGACAGAAACATTTAATAGGTTTATATAATAAAAATAGAATGCCATTAATGACACTGTGCCAATGATAATATTTAAATTTGAAAAACAGACCATGGTTATATAGGATGTTAACTTAGGAGAAGATGGGTAAAACTACTATCTTGGTAACTTTACTTTTCTCTAAAATTATTCCAAAATAAGTTTTTTAAAAGTTGGTTACCAAAATATGTGCATATGGACCTGATTGTGTGCATTTGTGCAAGTTATATATGTATGTATACATGTGTGCATGTGTGTATATTTGTGCAAGTTATATATGTGTGTGTGTATATATATATATACACATATGCATATATATGTATGTATGTTTTCATGGGAAAATGAATAAAAGATATATGTGAGATGTCAAAAATAACATGGAGGCAGCGATGTGGGAGAGGATTAACTTCCAAGTCCTGGTTGGCGCCTCTCAGAGGGGAAGGAGGTGATGGTGGACTTGCCAGCATCATTTCTACTTCCTCTGCTTGTCCTGTCCTCTTCCAGCGTGCTGCACACTGAGCCTGCCCTTGCGCTGAAAGTTACAAAATACATCACTGGGTGACACCAGAAAGCCCCAGGAATAGGTCTTGAAACCACTTTTGCTCAGAGTGGCTCAAAGTGAAATTTGCAAGTTGAAGGGGAAATGATCAATTTTGAACAGGCTGCCCATGGTAAAGTGATCCTGGTTTGTTCCCTTTCTCCTCCTAATGGAAACAGAAAGAAATTGGCTGTACTTCATAATGAGGGACCAATCACTTTTATTCCCCTTGGGGCTTGCTGTAATAGCATTAAGTATGATGAATTCTTTCCATATTCAATTCTGCTGAATGTATGATGTGATTCCATAGGAAGTATTTTGTAATTTGGCATTAATTAACGTCAATTAATGTATGCAACTGCTAGATGTTAGCATTAATTTCATTACTTTTCCACACAGATGTTTTCCTTGCCACAGGTAATTAGGACACTGTGCTGCTCTTTTCAAGCATTCTCACTCTGCAACAGCTGCTGCTTGGGAGAAGATGCCCATGCCGAGCCTGTGCTGATCTAGAGAGGGAGCTGTCTCGTGCACAGCCAGGCTGCAGCAGAGGCCTGGGGCTTTAGACCACAAACACGATTCTAACCCAGAGAGGCTGGCTTGGTAAACGTAAT